CCTCCTCCTCCTTCCCCTCCTCCTCCTCCTCCTCCTCCTCCTCCTCCTCCTCCTCCTCCTCCCTCCGCCCGCGTATGCAAAATTCGCCTTGCAGCGTTCCAGCGCAGGCTCCGACCGCGCTGACTGCCAGCGCTGCGACCCAGAATGTCAGCTTTCACCCCGCTGGCTTCCGCCGAGCCTCCGCTGAGATCCGCCGCCGCAGCCGCCCTCAGCTCACTTCCGCCCTCGAGGCGAGTGGGCGACGCCTCGGTCCCTGGAACTGCGAGGGCCCTCTTCGGGAGCGAAGCCTGCAGCGCCGTGATCCTGTTCCAGATGTGGGCCCCGCAGCTCTCAACCGCATTCCTGGGACCAGTGTCCCTGTCGCTGGTCCTCGTTGTCGGCCCCTGGACCCGAAAGCAGCCCCCAGTTGCAGATCGGAGCAAGCCGAGTTGAGACAACGGCAGCTCAAAATCGGTCCCCAGTCCCCGGACCCCTCCTGGAATCCAAGCGCACAAGTTTCCCGAGCTGCGTCCGGCCTTGGTGACGAGGGCCCCCCCGAATGCCAACTGCAAGCTGTCTCAGCTTGCCCCCCTCTCATCCGAAGCCGGCAAGAGGACGCCCGCCGTGCTCTGTCCACGACGCCTCGACGACGACGGCGACAGCGGCGGCCAGCGGCGGCTGCAGGCGAGCGACGATCAAGAACGGGTCTTACGCGAGATGGCACAACGACCTTACGCCGCGGCCGCGGGCACGCCACATTGGAGACGAGGGCGCTTACCCGCGAGCTTACCCGGGCAGCTTACGCGCCAATGTCGGCGCAGACGACCCCGCTGTTTGATTCGCGTCGCCCAAGTGGGCGCGCGGCCTCCCACGAGCCGGTGCGCGGGTCGTACCGCTCCACGGTGTCCACCGCCTCGTAGTGGGAGTTGCTGCCACCCACGGCGTACACGCGCCCGGCCACTGGCGCCCGCGAGCCGTCGTCGTCGTCGTCGTCGTCGTCGTCGCCGTCGTCGTCGTCGTCGTCGTCGTCGTCGTCGCCGCCGCCGTCGTTTTCGTTTTCGCGCACGGGCTCCGCGCCGAGGGCTGCCCCTGGCTGGCCCCGAGGCGCGCCCAGGGGGCGAGAGGCCCCCGGGGCTGGAGGAGCAGGGCCGCCTCATGGGCGACTCATGGGAGCCTCTAGTCGACGCTGACCGATGCTAGATCGACGCCAATTGACGCTAGCCGACGCTGAATCGGCGCTGCCTCGCCGACTCCCAGACCCCAATCGTTGCTGACCGACGCTGAAAACGCAATCAAGAGGGTACAGAAGGCTCCCATGATTTGCTTTAGGTCGGGCCTGTCCCCCTACAGGCGGATTTTGGGCGAACAATGAAAATGCCCCAACAACACCCCCCAAATTATGAGGAAATAGTCGAATAATCATCCCGTGGCAATTTTTTTAACTATTTTTGAATTTTCCCCCCTGTAGAGGGACAGGCCCGAAGATTGATATGCTACTGAAAAGGAGGGCTGGGAAAGCATACGGCTGGACCTCCAGAGGGCGAACAAATCGCCCGCCGCAAGCGCCAAGACCTTCATTAAGCAGGGACCGACCGACCCGGCATTTCTATAGGCCTACCACGAAACGTTCTCAGAACCCAGAGAAGTTCTAAGAACAAACACATTGTTCTGAGAGCATGTTCCCGATGTGTTACAACAAGAAAGACACAGTCCCAGCCATACATGTTCTAAGCACATTTCGTGCAGACCACAAAAGGTTATCATAACATTTTTGGTAGGGCTATAGGCGAGCCGGGACGCTGCGCCACGGCTTGACTTCATTGCCCGCCGCGCGTGCGTGCGCCGCCGCCGGCTCGGGGCCCTCGCGGTGGAGACTTTTTTTTTATCTGTGTAGGCGCCGCGCGAGCACGGCGGTTTCATGCAGGCATTCTAGGGCCCCGCCACCGCTCAGCGCCCGATCTCCTCCAAGAAGGCGGCGTAGAGCTCGGCGAGGTCGCGGGCGCGGGCGGCCGCAGCGCCCTGGGGGCCCTCGAGCTGCGGCCCGCCGCTCCCGCCTTCGGCCGCTAGCGGCAGCACTTCGCCATCGCCGTCGATGCCCTGCTGCCGCTGCGTGGGGCACAGGCGGACGCCGTACTCTATCGAGTGGTCGCTCGCCGCCGTGGGCTCGGGCGGGGCCTGGTTGTCCTTGGGGAGGCGCCGCAGCTCGATCCCGATGCCGTGCATCTCGGGCCGCGTCCCCGCCTCCAGACAGCAAGTCCAGATGGTCACCACCTGCGTGGCCTGAGCCGCAGGGGGGCCCTCCGAGGCCTCCGCGCGCCGCGCCGCCAGCCGCCAGCCACTTGCGAATCCCTCTCCGAAGGCCCGCGCCTCCAGCTCGGGGTCGCCTGGCTGCCAGCAGCCTGGCGCCAGCCAGTTCGCGCCCAGGACGTCCTCGGGCGCTGCCTGGGGCAGCTCTCTCTCGTGCAGCATCCTCTGCACCTGCTGAGCCGCATGCCCCTGCTTCTGCGCGGCCCCCGCCTTGTCCTCGTGCACCTCCTCCGTCGCCGAGGGGTTGAGGAAGGGGGGCTTCCCGAGGCGCTCCTGCTTCTGCGCCTTCCTGAGCTCGTACGCCGCCGCCCTTGCGATGCGCCCCTTGATGGCGCCCGCCTTGGCGTGCAGCGCGACGTTCCTCCTGAGCCGCGCCAGCCAGGAGGGCTGCTCGCCGTTGACCAGCGCGCCCAGCGCAGGCACCACCGCGGCGAGCCTGTCGGCCAGCTCAGCATCGCCCGTGAAGGCCTCCAGCGTCCTCTCGGCGAGGGCCAGCCGCTCCACGAGCTCCTCCACACGCGCTCGGGCATGCCGCACGGCGGCGTCCGCCGCCGAGCGCGCCCGCCGCGCAGCCTCGCTGCGCTCCGCGCGTGAGCGTGGGGACCTGCGGGGGTCCCCTCCCGTCGCCATCACCTCAAGCAGCTGCTGCACCCGGACCGGCCATGAGCGGAGGCAGATGGCAGCCAGGGGCTTGAGACCGGCTTGAGCCAAAATGGCTACGGACACGGTGGAGACATTGGAGAAGGAACCCTTAGATAAAGAATCCAAGGTCTCAAGGCCGGTGGAACTCCAATCGAGGCTTGGACATGAATATCACCGCCGCCCTCATCAGATAAGGGACCCTCCAGGGTCTGCAGCATCCTGGGCGCATTCCTTAACCAACGCCCCCACCGTATGTTCTGAGGGCCTGCGGGCCCCAGCCGTGAGTTTGGCAGCCTGGCTGCTCTCATGGGAGAGAGAGGGGGGAAAGAGAGAGAGAGAGAGACAACAACAAAGGCAGAATTAGGGTTCGAGTGCGCCCTTGCAGAATGGCCCTGGGGTCCGGAGTCACAAACAAAAATGCAGCATCGTGGAAATGCTTGGCCGGACCCCTGATCCCCGTCGTTCTGCAGCACTGCTCCGGGCCGGACCGATCCGTGAGGGGGGCCCCTGGGGCAGGAAGCAGGGCAACGAGAGGCGCCCGCTGCGAACGCCAGGATCTCAGGGCCGCAGGAGGAGCGGTCCGTCGCCGCTTGGGCTCGAGCTGCGGCGCCCCGCAGCGCCGAATCGCGGCGGACCCCCCCCCCCCTCCGGCCGCCCCCACGCGGCGCACGGACGGCGGCGACCACAGCTCGCCCTCCCCCGGACAGCCCAGCACGCCAGCTCCGCTCCGCGGCGGGGCGCGCCGCCCGTGCCCGTCGCGGCGGCCCCCACGAGGGGGGCGTCGCCAGGGCGGCGGCCTTCTCCAAGAGCCCCGAGGTCCCGGCGCCGCACGCTTCCACACAACGGGCGGCGTTGCCTCGCTGCGGGCTCGCGGATGGAGATCCCGCCCGAGGCGCGCCGCAGCAAGACGTGGGGGCCCAGCGCCCGGGCCGAGTCGTTTTACGGTGTCGCTTGCTCGTGACCTCGCACCTCAGGGCCGCACCCACGCGCGGAACACCCTCACTGCCGTACGCTGCATGCGCGCGCGCGGGCTCGCGCAGCGCTCGCGAGCGAATCCCGCCAGTGGCAGGGCCGAACGCGGGAAAAAAAGACAGCTGACCACGCGTGTGCTCAGCTGCTCTGGCCGCCCCGGGGCGCCCCGCTGCGGCCCCCGCTGCGTGACCGCACTATGGCTCCTTCCCCTCGCCCCGCGACCGCTCCATTCGCAGTGCCGCCACCGGGCTTGCCCGAGCGCGCGCGGGGACTGCCTCCGCCGCGCTGCGACGTGGAAGTGGGCTCAGCTGCTCGCCCAGGCTGGCCTCAGGTCGGGCATGTCCGCCGAGAAAAATGAACCGTAGCCGCACAAGACTCAAAACTAGCCGAAGATAGTCAAACAAACATGTCTCCAGACTATTGTTTTGACTATTCTTGAATACTCCTCCTGTAAAGGGACATGCCCGACTGAAGGCTGGCCGCGTCATGTGCACCCGGCCTCCCAGCCTGTGTAGCATCCCGCAGAGGAGGCGGAGGTCCAGATCGTTTGGGGGCAGGCCTCTATGCGCGGCGCTGGCGTTCTGGGCCCAGGGGTGAAACATACCCCCTGGATTACAATGGAGGCTAGTCCACAAGAAACCTTCCGCAAGAAATCAAACCCGGAGACGACAGGACGCCCATGGATTTTTGGTGCGGGAGCTTCGCGCTCCCCACAACAAAACCATCGAAACCCAAGAAGCCCAGGGGGGCAAGCAGGGTGTTTCTTGGCATGGGCCTCCACTGTTGCCCTGGGGGTCCGTGTCGCCTGAGCTTCGAGGAGGATCCAGCCCGTGGCGGCGAGGAGGTCTCTTGGATGCCCCCTAACAGGTACACGACGCAGGCGGAAAGCACCGACGATCTGGAAGACGACGAACCCCAGATCCCCTGGATGGACCCCTTCCTGAGGGCTGTTGTCCATCCCAGACAGTTTGTGATGGCCCAGGGGCCAGGTGTTTTTTTCCACTGTCGTAAACAACGAGTCTTTGGCAATCCTGGTAGGCATCCTGCAGACGCGGCCGAGGTCTGGGTCCGGCCAAGAGTCGAACCCCGGGCCAGGACCTGTCCAGTGGAAGGATCGCGTTACACGGGCAGTTGGCTTCACAACAAAGCAACATGCCCCTCCGAATCCAGGGGAACTCCCCCCATTTCCGTAGACCCTCTAATACGGGACCCCCTCCCTGCGACACCGGTGCTACCCCCCACCATCCTTCTCTGCCCCTGGTGCCTGGTGCCTGGAGGGCGGGGGGAGTCTGGACCCCCCTTCTCGCGTCTGCAAGCGACGATGACGAGGTCGATGGCGACCTCGACGATCTCGAGGGCGACCGCGACGACTGCGACGACTGCGACCAACGAGGTCGACGAACGACTGCCACGAGCGACGACGATCGCGACGAGCGACGACGACTGCGACGGCCGCCAGCGACTGTGACGGACGACGCCGACTGTGACGACCGACGGCTGCGACGACGACGATGACGACGACGAGGACGACGACGAGAACGACGACGACGACGTCGACGAGGACGACGACGACCACGACGCGGACGAGGACGACGATGACGACGAGGACGAGGACGAGGACGACAACCGACGGCGACGACGACGACGGCGACGACTAAAGATGCGATCGATGACCGACGACGATAACGACGACTGCCACCGCGACGACGACCGACGACGACAACTGCGATGACCGACGACAACGACTACGCGGGTGGGATTGCCACGACGACGACGCGAATGGTCGGACCCTACCAGTCGGGCCGAGGGCCGACCTTGACAGGCGGGTCGGGCGGACGGAACGGGCGGGTCGGATGGCGGACCACCCTGATGGGCAGAAAGGGCGGGCGGGAAATTAAAGCGAGTCAGGCTCGTCGCTGTCGTCGTCGTCGTCGTCGTAATCGTCGTGGTCGCTGTCGTCGCAGGCGGTCGTCGGATACAGTCTATCGTCGTCGTCAAACATAGTCCGTCGTTGTTGCCGCCGTCGTTTATCGGTTACAGTCTGTGGTCGTTGTCGGCGTTGTCGGCGGTAATAGCCCGTTGTCGTCGGAAGTCTTGGAAGGAAGTGCAACCCCGGGCTGGCGAGACTCGAAATCTACAGCGCCTCTAAGAGCCGTTGTGACGACGATGACGATGACGACGACGACAGCGACACAAAAATCCGTTGTCGTTATTTTGACAACACGGGGTCCCGCAAAATCCCGACCGACCCCATCTACAAGGCTGGATGTTCGTCCCGAGCCGTTCGATGCCAGTCCCGGGGCACCGGCGATGGCCTCCAGAGACCGAAAGCGGCGAAAAGCTCCCGCCGTGATTTCCCCACGACGCGAAGATATCGCGAGCGGAACACATGTCCGTATCCACGTCCTCGCGGGCCCCTGGGCCGCGACCCCGTGGATGCGGGGCGATGTTCCACGGATGCCCCGCGCGGAACATGCGGCCGCGCACCCACGGGATCGCGAAGCGGAACCCAGACCGCGAGGGCGTGGCCGTGGAGATGTCCGCCGCTCGCGAGGAGGACCGCCGCTGTGACGACGACGACGACGACGACGACGACGACGACGACGACGACGACGACGACGACGACGACGACGACGACGACGGCGAGGACGACGACGGCGAGGAGGACCGCCGCGACGATGACGAGGCCGCCGCGAGCCTGCCACGGCGCCCAGGCCGTCGCGCGCGGCCGGGAGCGCGCGGGGGGCCGGCGCCCAGGAGCCCCTCTCGGGATTGTAGCACTCCACCACGCTGAGCCGGCCGCCTGCCGGGGGCCCCCCTGGCCGCGGGCCTGCGGCCGCGCCGCGGGCAGCAGGCCGCCGCCCCCAGGGGGTTAGCTCGGGCGGGTCCTCCGACAAGCGGATGTGCAAGGAAGAACAAAAGATAGCCAACAAATGCCCAGCAAAACATTCCTCCTGTAGAGGGACATGCCCGGCAAAACCATGGGGGCATTCGGGCGCCCTCGGAGGCCCTCGGGGGCCCTCGAAAAGAGGCCCTCGGAGGCCTGCGCGGGGTCGTCGCGGCGGCGGCGGCGACGGCGGTCGTCGCCGTCGTCGCCGTCGTCGCCGTCGCCATCGCCGTCGCCGTCTCCACCGCCGCCGGTTCTGGCGCCGCTGGCGCCGCCGCCGACGTCGTCCTCGTCGTCGTCGTCGTCGTCGTCGTCGTCGTCGTCGTCGTCGTCGTCGTATCGTCGTCGTCATATTGTTGTCGTCGTATCGTCGTCGTCGTATCGTCATCGTCATCGTCATCGTCATCGTCATCGTTGTCGTTGTCGTTGTCGTTGTCGTTGTTGAACATTACTACTTCTAAAGAATAATTATTGTTGGGGCCCCTGGTGCACGACCCCCCCGCCGCGCCTAGGCCGCAGCCACATTTTCATCATTTTCGTGAGGAAGTCTCAGGCAAAACGGGTTGGTCCGGATCCGGTTGTGTTGTTACGGCCCGGCTTTCCCTTGCAAAAAATAGGCTAAAGTGGACATTTCTTGTTCTAACATAACCAAACTTCAAGAATCCCTTGCAAAAAAAGGTAAAGTTGACATTCGCGCGCGCAAGACGAAAGCCGTCGTCGTCGGCCGCGGGGCCCTGAATAGTAGCCACGGTCGTCCGCATGCCACGAAGTGAAGTGTCCGAACGTCATAGGGCGGGAAGCTGGGTGTGGGTGGTGGCGAAGAGTCGTTTGGAAATTTGGTAGAGCTTGAACCGGCCCCCCCACAAAGTGGGGGTATTGCCCGCCTCCTATGAAAACCCTGGCACTGGTGAGAACGGAGTGTCCCCACGTGCTAGTAATTGTTGTTGAACATTATTAATTCTAAAGAATAATTATTGTTGGGCCCCTGGTGCACGGCCCCCCTGCGCCGCCTAGGCCGCAGCTACATTTTCATCATTTTCGTGAGGAAGCCTCAGGTAATTCGATGTGATCAAGATCCGGTTGTTTTGTTGTAATCCGCTTTCCCTTGCAAAAAACACTATAAAATGACATTTCTTGTTCTAATATAATCAAATTTCAAGAATCCCTTGCAAAAAATAAGGTAAAGTGGACATTCGCGCGCGCAAGACGAAATCCTTCCAAAAGCTTAGTGTTCGGAGCGATTTTAACATAAAAACATCAAAAAACCAATGGTTTTTCAACAAAAAAATGTCAAAATCTCATCCCGCGCGCTCTTGCGGATTCGTAGGAAACCCAACACTTTTTAAACATTTCTGTCAAACGGGCTTTTGCGAGCAACTTTTTCGAACTTCTGCGACAACGGTTGCGCACCTGCCAGGGCCATCATCCCTGTCAAATAATACCATGCGGGACACATTCGTTTTTTCTTCGCGCGCGCACGCCGAAATCTCCAAAAACCATTGGGTTTCTTAAGAATTTTAGCACCGCGCATCATAAAATCACACGAATCGCACCGTAGGTCCTCGAAAAACACCTGCACGACTTTTCAAAATTTCCACCCGCGCGCGCTGTCCTAACAACTTCTGTGGGTGTGTACTCCACGCCAGTGTAGTAGCCACGGTCGTCCGCAGGCCACGAAGTGAAGTGTCCGAACGTCATAGGGCGGGAAGCTGGGTGTGGGTGGTGGCGAAGAGTCGTGTGGATATTTGGTAGAGCTTGCACTGCCCCCCCACAAAGTGGGGGTATTGGCTGGCGTCGCATGAAAACCCTGGCACTGGTGAGAACACTGAGCGTTCGGGTAAAGTGATTGTTGTTGTTGTTGTTGAACATTATTAATTCTAAAGAATAATTATTGTTGGGGCCCCTGGTGCACGGCCCCCCTGCGCCGCCTAGGCCGCAGCTACATTTTCATCATTTTCGTGAGGAAGCCTCAGGTAATTCGATGTGATCAAGATCCGGTTGTTTTGTTCCCCCCCGCTTTCCCTTGCAAAAAACACTATAAAATGACATTTCTTGTTCTAATATAATCAAATTTCAAGAATCCCTTGCAAAAAATAAGGTAAAGTGGACATTCGCGCGCGCAAGACGAAATCCTTCCAAAACCTTAGTGTTCGGAGCGATTTTAACATAAAAACATCAAAAAACCAATGGTTTTTCAACAAAAAATGTCAAAATCTCATCCCGCGCGCTCTTGCGGATTCGTAGGAAACCCAACACTTTTTAAACATTTCTGTCAAACGGGCTTTTGCGAGCAACTTTTTCGAACTTCTGCGACAACGGTTGCGCACCTGCCAGGGCCATCATCCCTGTCAAATAATACCATGCGGGACACATTCGTTTTTTCTTCGCGCGCGCACGCCGAAATCTCCAAAAACCATCGGGCTTCTTAAGAAGTTTAGCACCGCGCATCCCTCAGGAATTTGCCCTAAAGATGTGATCAACTATCTTGTGAGTACGTATCATGTGTATCATGTGTATCATGTACCATATGCATCATATGCAACAGATGTTCTGTGGAAGGCTTAACAACTTCTGTGGGTTAACAAGGCTTAACAACTTCTGTGGGTGTACGAACGTAGGCTTAACAACTTCTGTGGGTGTGTACTCCACGCCAGTGTAGTAGCCACGGTCGTCCGCAGGCCACGAAGTGAAGTGTCCGAACGTCATAGGGCGGGAAGCTGGGTGTGGGTGGTGGCGAAGAGTCGTGTGGATATTTGGTAGAGCTTGCACTGCCCCCCCACAAAGTGGGGGTATTGGCTGGCGTCGCATGAAAACCCTGGCACTGGTGAGAACACTGAGCGTTCGGGTGAAGTGATTGTTGTTGTTGTTGTTGTTGTTGTTGTTGTTGTTGTTGTCATTGTCGTCGTTGTCGTTGTGGCCGCCCCTGCCTTCTGCGGCCGCCGCTGCCGCCTCGAGGGTCGACGATAGAGGACCTGGGTTTCCGAGAATGGGCGCTTCTGGGCTTCCTTGGTAACATTTGGGCCCCCGGAGGCCTCCAGGGACCTCCAGAGCCCTCTGGGGACCCCCGCAGGGACAAGGCCGCTGGAGACCTCGAGAGGCCTCCGAGGTGGAGGACCACGTCGGTCGTCGTCGTCATCGTCGTCGTGGTCGCCGCCGCCGCCGCCGCCGCCGCTGCTGCCTCGAGGGCCGAGGATCGACGACGGTCGTCGTCGGCGGCAGCGGCGGCGGCAGCCGCCGCCGCCGCAGGCACCTTGAAACAAATTGGCAGCTCCTCCTGCTCCTCGCCCTCTCATCCTCCTCCTTCTCCTCCTCCTCCTCCTCCTGTTGTTGTTCCTCTCCTCCTCCTCCTCCTCCTCCTCCTCCTCCTCCTCCTCCTTGTGCCCGTTCACCGCGCCTCCTCCCCTCCTTGTTGTTCTGCGCCGTCGCATGTGGAGACCGCCCTCCCCCGCTTTACTCCATCCCCTCCACCTTCCTGCCTCTTCTTTGTCATCCTCTCTCTTCTAAGCTTCTTCTTGATGCTCTTACTCTTTCCCCTGCTCTGTGGTCCACTCGCCCCGCTGCTTCCCTCCTCCGCCTTGTTCCATCCACGTACCTCCTCCCCGTTCCTGCGCCAACTCCTTTCTCCCCCTTCCCCATTCTCTCCTACATGCAGTCGAGATTGACCAAGGGCAGAAAAGAATTTGTATGTGTTGGTCTGTGATGGCGCCTGAACAAAGGGATGGGTGAGGAAAACGAGCAACACAATCAGGAATAGGTCCCACCCAAGTCAAGGCCCCCAACATGGCCGCGCTTATGGTAGCTGTTTCCGGTGGGCGACGAAGGAACACTGTCTCGCCGATGAAGGCGCAGCGACCTGACGCGATACGTTGCACAAGCCGCCAACGAGGCACACGACGTGGAGATGAAGGCACGCACGCCCGACCCCGCGCGGACAGATTATGTGCGAATGTCCACGCATCCAGCGCCCTTCTTGACTTGAAGAAAAACCTGCGTAAACAGAAACTGTTGGTGCTCCGCGCGGATTTCTTGGATCCGCGCTGGGCACCCCTCCCTCGCGCGCGGAACGCGCCAGGGGCGGCGCTGGAAGCGCCGCCCGGGGAGGCCCAGGCGTGGATCCGAGAAAAATCCGCGCGGAGCGCCAACAATTGATTTTAATCCATTGTGTTTTTGTTCGTGCGAGTCTCCTCCGTTGCTTGGGCAAGAAGTGCCGGCCCAGCCCTCGACCTCGGAGCTCGTTGAAGCCGCCAATCGCGTATATCCTCGGCGCCGTCGGCAGCATCGAGGCCGCCTCCTGTGGCAAAGGCAGCGCCGCTCGCCCGCCCTCCCCCTCAAAAAGAGAACACCTCGGGGCACGCTGGCGCGACTCGATCCCGAATCCCGGGAGCACAGGAGAGCCCACAATCGAATCGATCAGTCGGATCGGCAATCGAAATTAATCGGATCGGAGGAAATCGGCAGCAGAGTCGGGAAAAGTCGAATCGGCGGAAATCGGCAAGCTAGTAGGCCTCCATTGCGAAATCGGAGCCCAAATCGGAATCCTAAGTCGAATCGAATCGGAATCGGAAGCCATGGGAATCGAATCGGATCGAACCGGAGGAATCGAAACGAGCCCTGGGAGCGGGGAGGAAGCGGAAGACGATCCAACACCCAACATGGTTGCATGTGGTCGGCTGCTTCCTCCTGCCTGCCCCTCGCTCGGCCCTCCTGTCCACTCCCGTCCACCCGCCTCCCTCCCCTCGGGACCGGCCATTCGTCCGGAGTCGCTCCTCGACGCTCCTGGGGTCGACGGCGACAACTTCTCGACTCGACGACGACGACGACGAGGGGGCGGCACGGGGCCCCTCTCCGCGGCAACGAGAAGTTGCATCGGCAACGAGAAGTCTCATGGAGATACCCGTCGATCCTCGAAGCTCGATCCTCGAGCCCCCTTTCATCGTACCTCCTGCACCTCCCGTCGAACCTCCTACCTGAGGGACAACATCAGGGGGGACCGGCTCAGGGGAGGTGGGGGGGTACATAGGAGGGGGGGGGAACATCGAGCTGGAATCGGCGAGACATTGACGATAGATCGGCGATAGGCCCCGAGCAGAGAAACCGCACGCTCTTGGGCGGCGTGGCCATCACGCCCCTGTCGGCGATGAATGGGGAATCGGGTGTCGATGCGTTCATACCCCCACAGGTTGCCCCTGAGACCCTCGGCCCTCGAAACTTGAACCTGCCCTCCCCCACGCCGGGTGGCTGGCGCGGCGGGCCCTCCTCGCGCGCGCGCCTCAGCGGCGGCGCCACCAGCGCGAGCGCGGCCGCGGCGGAGGAGCCAGCGAAGGCTGCAATGGCTACCAGAGCCTCTGGCGGGCGTCGTCGACCCGACGCTGTCGCCAGCACCGCCGTCGTGGTCGTCATGGACATCGTGGTCGTCGTGGTCGTCGTCGTCGTCGTCGTGGTCTTGGTCGTCGTCGTCGACGTCGTCGTCGTCGTCATCGTCGTCGTCGTCGCCGTCGTCGTGGTCGTCATGGTCGCCGTGGTCGTCGTCAAGGTGGTCGTCGTCGAGGTTGTCGTCGTCGTCTTGGCCATCTTGGTCGTCGTGGTCGTCGTGGTCGTGGTCGTGATCGTGGTCATGGTCGTCGTCGTGGTCGTCGTCGTCCGTCGTCGGCGTGGTCGTCATCGTCGTTGTGGTTGTCGTCGTCGTCGTCGTCGCCGTGGTCGTCGAGGTCGTGGTCGTCGTTGTCGTGGACGTTGTCGTCGTGGTCGTCGTGGCCGTCGTGGTCGTGGTCGTCGTGGCCGTCATGGTCGTCGTGGTCGTGGTCGTCGTGGTCGTTGTGGTCGTTATCGTGGTCGTGGTCGTAGTCGTGGTCGTTGTCGTGGTCGTCGTCGTGGTCGTCGTCGTCCACGGCATGGTCGTCGCCGATGTCGTTGTGATCGTGGTCGTGGTCGTGGTCGTCGTCGTCGGCGTGGTCGTCAAGGCCGTCGTGGTCGTCGTCAACGTGGAGATGGCTGTGGTGTTGGTGGTCGCCGTCGTGGTCGTCGTGGTCGTCGTCATCGTCGAACCGTCGTCGCTGTCGTCGTCGTCGTGGCCATCGTGGTGGTCGATCTCGTCGTCGTGGTCGTCGTCGTCTTTGTTTTCGTTGAGGTCGTCGTGGTCGTCGTGGTCTTCATGGTCGTCGTCGTCTTTGTCATCGTCGTGGTCGTCGTGGTCGCCGTGGTCGTCGTCGTCGTCGTTGTTGTGGTCGCAGTGGGCGTTGTCGTCGTGGTCGTCGTCGTGGCCGTCGTGGTTGTTGTCAGCGAGTGGTCGTGGTCGTGTTCGCGGTCGTCGTCGTCGTCGTCGTGGTCGTCGTCGAAGTGGTCGTCGTGGTCGTCGTCGTCTTTGTCGTCGTTGTGGTCGTCGTAGTCGCCGTGGTCGTCGTCGTCGTCGTCGAGGTGGTCGTCGTGGTCGTCGAGGCCTTCGTGGTCGCGGTCGCCGTGGTCGTCGTCGTCGTCGAGGTCGTCGTGACCGTCGTGGTCGTTGTCAACGTGGTCGTGGTCGTGGTCGTGGTCGTGGTCGTGGTCGTGGTCCTCGTCGTAGTCGTCGTCGTCGTGGTTGTGGTCGTCGTGGTCGTCGTGGTCGTCGTCGTCTTTGTCGTCAGCGTGGTCGTCGTCGTCGTGGTCGTCGTGGCCTTCGTGGTCGTCGTCGTCGTCGTCGTGGTCGTCGTCGTCGCCGTGGTCGTCGTGGCCTTCGTGGTCGTCGTGGTCGTCGTCAACGTGGACGTGGTCGTGGTCGTCTTGGTCGTCGTCGTGGTCGTGGTCGCGGTCGTCGTCGTCGTCGTAGTCGTGGTCATCGTCTTCGTCGTGGTCGTCGTCGTCGTCGTCGTGTTCGTCATGGTCGTCGTCGTCGTGGACGTCGCCGTCGCCGTGGTCGTCGTGATCGACGTGGGCGTCGTCGTCGTCGTGGTCGTCGCGGCCGTCGTGGTCGCGGTCGTCGTGGTCGTCTTCGTCATCGCGGTCGCGGTCGTGGTGGCCGTGGTTGTCGTTGCCGTCGTGGTTTTGGTCGCCGTCGTCGTGGTTGTCGTCGTGGTCGTCGTCGTGGTCGTGGTCGTGGTCGCGGTCGTCGTCGTCGACGTCGTCGTCGTCGTGGTCGTCGTCGTGGTCGTTCTCGTCGTCGAGATCGTGGTCGTGGTCGTCGTGGTCGTCGTGGTCGTCGTCGTCGTGGTCGTGGTCGTGGCCGCGGTCTTGGTCGTCGTCGTCGTGGTCGTCGAGGTCGTCGTCGTCGTCGTCGTCATCGTTGTCGTCGTCGTCGTGGTCGTCGTCGTCGTCGTCACCGTTGTCGTCGTCGCCGTGGTGGTCGTCGTGGTCGTCGTCGTGGTCGTCGTGGTCGTCGTCGTCGTCGTCGTCGTCGTGGTCGCGGCCATCGTCAGGCCGTCGTGGCCGTCGTGGTCGTGGTCGCCGTGGTCGTCGTGGCCGTTGTGGTCGTCGTGGCCGTGGTCGTCTTCGTCGTGGTTGTGGTCGCGACCGTGCACGTGGTCGTCGTCGTCGTCGTGGTCGTCATCATCGTGGTCGTGGTGGTCGTCGTCGTGGTTGTCCTGGTTGTCGTCGTGGTCGTCATCGTCGTGGTGGTTGTCGTGGTCGTGATGGCCAGCGTGGTCGCCGTCGTCGTGGTCGTGGCCCCGGCCGTGGTCTTGGTCGTCGTCCGTCATCGTGGTCGTCATCGTCGAGGTCGTTGTCGTGGTCGTCGTCGTCGTCGTCGTGGTCGTCGTGGTCGTCGTCGTCGTGGTCGTCGTGGTCGTCGCCGTCGTGGCCGTCGTCGTCGTGGTCGTGGCCATCGTCGTCGTGGTCGTCGTGGTCGTGGCAGCCCCAGAGGCCCGCACGTGGCCCTCGCGTGGCCTTAAGAGCGGGGCCCGCCGGCACGGGTGCTCGGCAAAGGGGCGGCCGCGTCCTCGGGCGGGCCCGCGCGCTCGGGCCTTCGTGGCCGTCGTGGTCGTCGTGGCCGTCGTGGTCGCCGTGGTCGTCGTGGTCGTCGTGGTCGTCGTGGTCGTGGTCGGGATCGTTGTGGTCGTCGTGGTCGTGGTCGTGGTCGTCGTGGTCGTCGTGGTCGTCGTGGTCGTTGTTGTCGTCATGGTCGTGGTCGTGGTCGTGGTCGTGGTCGTGGTCGTGGTCGTCGTCGTTGTCGTGGTCGTTGTCGTCGTCGTTGTCCCGCGGGGGCCCGTCGCGCGCGGGCCAGCGCGCTCGGGCCGGTGGTTCAGAGATGGGGTCCTGAGGGACGGGGTCCTCAGGGCAGGATGAGGAGCAACGATCGGGGAGGACTGGCAAAAGGGGGGGAACATCGACCTGGGATCGGCGACACGTCTCCGAACAAAAATATGCGATCGGCTCCCGGTGGTGATTCCGCACGTTCCTGGGCAGGTTGGCACTCTTGGGCCCCTATTTGCGATGCATGGGCGATTGCGTGTCGATGCGCCACCCTCTTTGCCTATCCCCTCCTATCATTGCCCCCTGCTAGGAAGGGGTCCAAGGGTTGATGTGCACTGTTTGAAGCACCTCATTCTTGGGACCCCATCCCTCAGGACCCCCCCCATCCTTGGGGTCGAACACGGGGTTCGGCTACATAATTTATTCGGCCCAAAACAACCTGCCAAAAGACACGTAGAATGACCGTAGATCTACGAACATCCCATGGATTTTTCGCACACGCTCTACGAAGTCGATCTCCTGCTCCCGGCTCCACGCAAGAGTAGCCCTAGGCAAGATGGCCAAATCCGAGATGCACAAGCAGCTACTATCGCATCGCGCTCAGCGTTCGGGGGGGGGCCGGTCAGCCCGCACCAAATGTCACTCTGGCGAAGGGGGGGAGGCAAGAGCCTGCGGGCCCTCTCTCAGAGGGCTCGGAAGACCCACGGCCTTCCGAGCCTTTTGAAGCCTACCCCGCGGACGCAGAAAACTGCTCAGACGGAGAACCCCCGCCGCCTTCCGAGCAGGCCTGCTCCTTCTCACTTCCCCTCTTCGCCTGACAGGGTCCGCCCAAGAGCAGCGAGAGCTGCGGCGATGCCCGCCACGTGCGCACAGCATGCATCTGCGGGGCTCTTCTCTCGAGCGGGCCAGAAGGGAGGAGAGGATTCCTACGGGGAGGTGGGCGCTCAGCCGAATGCCCCCGGCGCCCCCATGCGTGGGGGGTCCAGGTCCCGCGTGCGTCCCACGGCTGCAAAGGTTGACTGCGACCAGCTCGCTCGAATCGAGCCGAACCCCTCGCCCGCCGCCGCCTTACCCAGACCCCCTCGCGTCATAAAAAAATACGACGAGAATTTGGTTCGC